GTTTTCATCCTCTTGCGTAGGTTCCTAGTGGTAGAATTGCTGGATTGTATGATAAGTTTATGTTTAACTTTTCAAAGAAATTGACAAACTATTTTCCAGAGTGACTTTGCAATTTTACATTCCTTCCGGCAGTGTATTAGGGTTTCAGTTTCTCCTCATCCTTGCCTACACTTATTGTTTGTCTTTTTTAATATAGCCATTGTAGTGGATGTGACGTGGTATCCCATGTAATTTTGTCTTTTTTATTTGCCTGAGACAGGGTCTTGCTCTGTAACCCGGGCTACGGTGCACTGCGCCGTCTCTGCTCACTGAAGCCTTAACCTCCTGAGCTCAAGTGATCCCCCCACCTCAGCCTCCTGAGTAGCTAGGACTACAGGCACACACAACCATGCCCGACTAATTTTGTTTACTTTTTGTAGAGACGGTGTCTCACTGTATTGCCTAGGCTGGTCTCAAACTCTTGGGCTCAAGAGAGCTGCCCATCTTGGCCTACCAAAGTGCTAGGATTACAGGCATGAGCCACTTTGCCCAGCCATGTGATTTTGATTTGTACTTCTGTGATAACTAATGATGTTGAGCATCTTTTTTCATGTTTCTTAGCCATTTATGTATCTTCTTTGGTAAAATGACTATTGAAATATTGAAATATTTTGCCTATTTCTTAGGCCGGACACGGTGGCTCATGCTTGTAATCACAGCACTTTGGGAGTCTGAGGCGGGCAGATCACCTGAGGTCAGGAGTTCAAGACCAGCCTGGCCAACCTGGTAAAACCCTGTCTCTACTAAAAATACAAAAATTAGCCAGGAGTGGTAGTGCACGCCTGTAATCCCAGCTACTTGGAAGGCTGAGGCGTGAGAATCGCTTGAACCCATGAGGTAGAGGCTGCAGTGAGCGGAGATCGTGCGACTATACTTTAACCTGGACAACAGAGTGAGAACCTGTGTCAAAAAAACAGAAAAAAAAAAAAAAAAAGGAAAAAATTTTTTGGTTTGTCTTATTATTGAGTTGAGTTTTTAAAAATTTATTTTGTGTAAGTTCTTTATCAGATATGTGATTTACAGTATTTTCTCCCAACTTGTGCATTTTCCTTTTCTCAATATATTTTGAAGGGCGAAAGTGTAACAGTAGTAGGTTCCTTGCCCGATGTACACGGCAAGTCAATATACCGAGACACCGAGTTACAGCAGAAAATGGTTTACTTGTGAAGCCACTAAATGAGGAGGAAACCTCAAAGGAGTCTCCCTGAGGAGTTTGGGGCTAGGGTTCTTTTTTTTTTTTTGAGACTTAGTTTCACTCTTGTTGCCTAGGCTGGAGTGGCACAATCTCAGCTCACTGCAACCTCTACCTCCCGAGTTCAAGTGATTCTCCTGCCCCAACCTCGTGAGTAGCTGGGATTACAGGCATGTGCCAGCACGCCTGGCTAATTTTTGTATTTTTAGAAGAGACGGGGTTTCACCATGTTGGTCAGGCTGGTCTCGAACTCCTGACCTCAGGTATTCCATCCTGGGAACCTCAGCCCAGCCTCGACCTCTCAAAGTGCTGGGATTGCAGGCATGAGCCACCGCGCCCAGCCGGGGCTAGGGTTCTTAAGGGTTTTGGAGTGCACCAAATGTAGAGATCATTGATTAATCAAAGAGTGCAGAGTGAAGTCATGGGACAGAGAGATGAAGAAACTGTATTCTCATGTTGATTTGGTTCTTCTATGGGGATCTTCAAGCTGGGTGGCCTCTGCTGTTCCACTGGAATTCAGGATTTGCTTAAGGAATTCTTAAACAAAAGCCTTATGATTCTAACCTCAGAGATCCTGTCTATAGGAACAATGGGGATACAGATGGTCAGTATCTAATGTTATGTGACATTAGGTTTTAAGGAAGTGGCTTAAGGTACAGCCTAATTAATGCTTAATTATAACTATATTTCTGTCCAGAATTCTTGTTAACCTTGTGAAGATGGCTTTAAAAATTTTTAATTTTGATGAAGTCCATTTTATTTTCTTTTTTATGAATTACGTTTTTGCTCTCATATTCAAGAACCCTTTGCCTAACCTGAGGACATGAAGATCTTCTCCTGTTTTCTTCAGAGCTTTCAAATGAGGTTCTGTAATAGGCTGGGTTTCACTTAATTAGGAAGGTCATAAAATTCTTCTGAGGAAGTGGTACTTCAGCTGAGATCTGAAAGCTGAGTAGGAGGTAAGATGGAAGGGAAGAAATTCCAGCCAGCGGGAAGAGCATGTGTAGGTGGGATTATGGCCAGTATGAAGAGCTAGAAGCAGGTTGTGAAGGCTGCAGGGGAGTGCATCTTCTGGTTCCCAGTGAAACTCAATTATGCCGTGTGAAGCAATCTTGCTACAGTGTAGTCTCAGGGAAGGCTTTTAATAAGCAACGGAAACATGATCAGATGTGCTTTCTAGAAAAGTCACTCTGGCTGCTGTTTGGAAACGGCTTGGAAGGTGGCCAGTATGGATTTGGAGTGACCAGGTAGGAGGCTGTTGGCCAGTTAGTGAGAAACGATGGCAGCTGGGACCCAGGGGAATTACGCAACTAGAGAATATTAGGGACAGTTGAGAGTCTGCCTGCCTTGCATACTGCGTGGTGAGAGATTATGGCCTGCATAATTTAGGAGATTGTAATAAGGGCGATTATGCTAGTTTCTATGGCTTCGACTCCATTCCCCAGCACACTTCTCTCTTTTGTTCTGCTCATTGAGTTTTCCTCACCAGAAAGAGATAGTCTTAATAGCCTAGACACAGCAATTTAAACATTTTCCGTGCTTTCCTCCTCCTCCATAAGACTTTGGGAAAAAATGGAAAGCAAGTTATCCATACATCCATTTGGGATTTCTAAGCTAATGGTGAGAAGTGTCTTGCTCAGAAAACTAAAACATTTATTATGTTTACTAAGTGTTTCCATTCTGTGCATGTGATACCTAGGAACATGTTTTCTTTTTATCAGTTTTCTGAAGTGTACAGAAAGTCAAAGGTTTCTCAGTTTAGATCATAGAGAAACAGATAAATAAATTCTGCTATAAATTGTGAAAAAAGCACAACGTGATATTGTTACCAGAAAGGGGTCCTGAACCAGACCCCAAGAGAGGATACTTGGATCTTGTGCAAGAAAGAATTCAAGGCAAGTTCATAAAGTGAACCCAAGTTTGTTAGAGAAGTAAATAAACAAAGAATGGCTACACCATAGACATAGCAGCTCTGAGGACGGCTGGTTGGCTGTTTTTATGGTTATTTCTTGATCATATGTTAAACAAGGGGTGGATTATTCATGAGTTTTCCAGGAAAGGGGTTGGGATTTCCTGGAACCGAGGCATCCTCCCTTTTTCAGACCATATAGAGTAACTTCTGGACATAGTCCTGGCATTTGTAAAATGTCATGGGACTGCTGGAAGTGTCTTTTAGCATGTTAATGCATTACAATAAATGTATAATGAGGAGTGAGGATGACGAGAGGTCACTTTCATCAACATCCTGGTTTTGATGGGTTTTGACTGGCTTCTTTACTGCATCCTGTTTTATCAATAGAGTCTTTGTGACCTGTGTCTTCTGATACCAGTTTTGCCGACCTCCTGTCTCATGGTATGACTAAGAATGCCTAACCTCCTGAGAATGCAGCCCAGCAGGTCATTTTACCCAGCCCCTATTCAAGATGGAGTTGCTGTGGTTCAAACACCTCTGACATATTTTCTCCTTCCCTTTTACAAGGAAATTTTAATTCTAAGGGTTGTAGAGGGATGAAGATCCATCTTCTGTTCTTTGGGCTGAATAGGGGTGATGATATTCCCGCCCAACTATTAGGGTCTCTTGTATTCATGGTAGAGAGGTGCTTGGTCAGAAAGCATCCGTATGGTGAGGGCCGTTCATAACTCTGAGTTCCGACAAAAGGTGATATTTGGAAGACTAATAAGTGTTCAATTTAAGAAAATATTGAGTAAACTTATCCTGCATTCCTACACAAAGAGCACAGTGACAATATATTCCATAAAAGTAAAGCAAAACAAGTAAAATTTTCTCAAGTAAACTAAATAAGAAGGCTTTCCATGAACTGGGCAATTGTTGGAACTAAGCTGACTTGGAGTGGCTAGCTGATCCTAATGTGCCCAGAATTATAATATTGATCCAGATTTTTACATTACCTATCCCTCTTGTTTCTTCTGAGCTGCATCCAGACGTCACTGGTTGGTTCACAGGAATAAGCTGGGTCAGTCTAAATTGCAGGAAACACCTCAAAAACAACAGACAAGACTCGATTCTAGTAACAGGTGTACTATAGTTACTGAAACATAATTTTCCTCTCCCCAGTGTCTCATTTTTACTAAAGACAAAGCATGATAGGTTTGATTTGTTAGCAAAATAAACTTTATACCTGGCCTGATTATTTGTATAAAGTGCAGCGAGAATAATTTTTGCTGTGTAGGCTCTTTTTAAATTGGCTTTGATACAACTTTCTTCCATAAGGAATCTTAGATTAGACTTCTTTTTAAAGGTTTGAGCCCAGCCAGGGGTTTGTGCTTGCAGATACCTGTGTGAGTTGGATAAATTGTTTCCTTCTCTCAGGGTCCCAAGATAACCTGGGCCTTCTGAGCCTGTCAGAAAGTGACATTCTTTACTTACCACAGGTCAGGAACCCTATACAGGGACTGTGTACACAAGGTCTGAGGCCAGTTTTCCAAGGAGCTTTTACTGACTCTGTAAGTCAACTTTGATTCCTTAAAGAAGTCTATTTATATTTGAAAGCATGCCATTTCAGTCAAAGCCTTGGTAAAATAACCAGTTTCTCCTACTGTGCCCTGTTACAAAAGAAAAAAGATTCTTACTGCACTTATGCAAATAATTATATTGCCATAAGTTACAAATACAAATAGTTTCCAAATTCTGGAGAAATCAGGGAGAGAGAAAGAAACATACTTCAAATTTTGTTAACAGGAATACACTTTACCCAATTGGTGCAAAAGTAGTTGCAATTTCAGACCATGAATTTTAAATCATTATAACTAGGCTCAAACACATTTTTATTAATCAAAATAGTAGCAATTACAATCAACACAGTTTGGTCAATGAGAAATAAGTTTATTTATTCCTGTAGCATAAAAATCCATGCTTTGGGATTTGACAAACTTTTGGGAACCATTTTCTGCATCCCGCTGGTTGTGGAAGTGTTTTCCCTGCAAAAAAGTTGTCGAGATGCTTGAAGAAGTGGTAGTCAGTTGGTGAGAGGTCAAGTGGCAATGGCAGATGAGGCAAAACTCTGTAGTCCAAGTCATTCAACTTTTGAAGCATTGTGTGATGTGCAGTTGGGCGTTGTCATGGAGAAGAATTGGGCCCTTTCTATTGACCAATGCCAGCTGCTGGCGTTGCAGTTTTCCCGGCATCTCATTGATTTGCTGAGTATACTTCTCATGTATAATGGTTTTGCTGGGATTCAGAAAGCTGTAGTGCATCAGACCAGCAGCAGACCACCAAACAGTGACCGTAACCTTTTTGTGGCTCACATTTGGCTTTGGGAAGTGCTTTGGAGCTTCTTCTAAGTCTGGCCAATGAGCTGGTTGTCACTGGTTGTTGTATAAAATCTACTTTTCATCACACATCACAATCCGATTGAGAAATGGTTTGTTGTTGTTGTGTAGGATAGGAGAAGATGACACTTCAAAATGACAATTTTTTTGATTTTCACTCAGCTCATGAGGCACCCACTTATTATGCTTTTTTACCTTTCTAATTTGCTTCAAATGCTGAATGACCACAGAATGGTTGATGTTGAGCTCGTTGGCAACTTCTCCTGTAGTTGTAAGAGGATCAGCTTTGATGATTGCTTTCAACTGGTCGTTGTCAACTTCTGATGGCTAGCCACTGTGCTCCTCATCTTCAAGGTTCTTGTCTCCTTTGTAAAACTTCTTGAACCACCACTGCACTGTAAGTTTGTTAGCAGTCCCTGGGCCAAATGCATTCTTGATGTTGCGAGTTGTCTCCACTGCTTTATGACCCATTTCGAACTTGAATAAGAAAATCGCTCAAATTTGCTTTTTGTCTAATGTCATTTCCATAGTCTAAAATAAAGATAAAATAAACAGCAAATAGTAAGTCATTGGCAAAAACACATAAAGCGAGAAATGCCCATTAAAATGACCTATAACATAACCACATTTATTTAAGACATACTGTAATATCAAACAGCAAATTCCAGCGATGCAAAACCGAAATTACTTTTGCATCAACCTAATAAAAACTGTAAACAGCTCAAAAGGAAAGTTTTCTTGACTCTGAAAAACAAAATGGAAAGTATGGGCAACATTTTAAGCAGAAAGTCATAAAAAGATTATTTCAGTCTTTTATTCAGTTTATGCAATTCCTGTTTTGCTCAACATTTACGAGTACATTAGTTTTTCAAGAGAGTGTTGGAAGTCCTTTCCTATTTTATTGGCATACTTTTCAAAGTTATCAGAGACCTGCATTTAAGAGTACTCATCAGAGGCCAGGCATGTTGGCTCATACCTGTAATCCCAGCACTTTGGGAGGCTTAGGTGGGTGGATCACCTTAGGTCAGGAGTTCAAGACCAGCCTAGTCAACATGGTGAAACCCTGCCTCTACTAAAAATACAAAAATTAGCTGAGCGTGGTGGTGAGTGCCTATAGTCCCAGCTACTTGGGAGGCTAAGGCAGGAGAATCACTTGAACCCGGGAGGCAGAGGTTGCAGTGAGCTGAGATTGCACCACTGCACTCCAGCCTGGCGACAGACACTCCATCTTAAAAAAAAAAAAAAAAAAAAAGTACTCATCAGAATCTTATAGTGGATTATAAACCATCTTTTGAAGAGGATCAAAACAAGACAATTGTCTGTGGATGACAAAATGTCTTTGGGCAGCAGTAATCAAAGATGCAATTGTCAAGGAAATTTGGTTGCTTCTGTGGCGTACAATAATTTAACATAATATAATTACTGATAACGGACACTAAGCCATATCAAAATTATAGATGTTTCCAGTATTTTTGAAACACATACCAATAATATATTTATACAAATACAACCCAAAGAAAGCCAAACACAATTTCATATTTAACAATGCTTCCTGTATGATTTTAATATACCAAATAAGCCAAATATGTCATTTTTTACTTTAGGAGACTGATATCTAAAAGATTAATTAAGAAAAAGATATAATTTATAATTTTACTTTGGAAAGTTTGTCAAATATCAAAGGTTTAAAACATTTGATATTATAAAAAGAATCCTAGGTCATAATAAGTCATTTAGTCAAAATGATGAAGATTTTAAAAAGACAAAAACCTTTACCTGTTAATACAGGAGAACTTAGCTTTCCAAACAGTCTCTTTTTTCCTGCCTCTTTTCTGTAGCTTAGGCAAACAAAAATCTTTCATTATCTTTTAATATTACATGAAAATCTTCAAGAGAGAGAAAGCCAGATTTTACCTTTGTATTAGTGTACCATGAATGTTAAACCCAATTCTTAGTAAAACTCTTAGATAAATTTGTCCAATCTTAGTCAGTTTGACCATAAGGTAAGATTCCCGTAAACCTTTTATAAACTGTTACAATTTTCTGTTAAATAAAAGATTAATATTCTAAGAAAACCCTGTGGTGCTTTTATTTCAAAAATTCAATTTATGTAAAAACTGAATGGTTACCCCTTTAGCTTTAGCCAAATTGTTTACACACAGAATTTCTTTTACAAGATTAGTCTTTCACAAACCTTTCACAACTCGCTCAAACCTTCAGCTTTATCGTATCTACCTTAAAACAATCCTTTAACCTTCTAAACCAGGCCAAAAAAAAAAAAAAAAATTCCCCATCCTCCTGCCTTCTTATAATATTTTACCAAAAACTCATTATACTTTTAACACATCTTACGTGTAAAACTGTTTATTCAGTAGTCTCAGTTACGTATGTTACAGTATTAACTCTTAGCAACTTTTATTTTTGGTAAAAATCCTGGTGAGTACCAGGTGTGAAGCCTAGGACACCAGACAGAAGTACAGACAAGGTCTGATGCTTTCCAGCATACCCAAGGGGCATGGCCAACTCCACAGGTCCCCAGGCCCCCAAGTCTTATCTAGAATGTAATGGCTCCAAAGCAGTCAAGTTGAACAATTTTCAAGTCAAAGAAGCAGTTTATGACCTTAAAGCATTTAATCCATTCAAAGTGGGATGGAATGACCTCTGACTAGGAGTTTCAATGTGTGGTCCCTGGGCAGGATGGAAGAGAGGACAGTCGCCCTGAGTGACAGAAAAGATAGGAAAGGGAAAAGGGTGAGAGAGAGAGAGAGAAAAAAAAAAAAAAAAAAAGAGAGAGAGAATGAGAGAGGAGAGGGGAGGGAAAACAGCATTGCCTGAATTGGGGCTGGGCAGGCGAGGAGCTCAGGGAGGCCAGGGAAAGACCCACCCAGTGCAGTGACACTGAATCAAAAGTTCAGGTGGCTGCTTGTCAGTCACAAAAGGATCTTGATCTCCAGCATCTTCATCAGCTCTTATTTTTCTCCTTTGAGAAGAAAAAGCTCCCCATGTCCTGTGTGCTTCTGTACATGACTAATTCTGTCACCCACAGCCAACAGCAAAAAGCACAAGGCAAGTTAATCTAAAGATTTTTAGGCCAGGTGCAGTGGCTCATGCCTGTAATCCCAGCACTTTGGGAGGTCAAGGCAGGCGGATCACGAGGTCAGGAGTTCGAGACCAGCATAGCCAACATGGTGAAACCCCGTCTCTACTAAAAATCCAAAAATTAGCCAGGCTTGGTAGTGTATGGCTGTAATCCCAGCTACTCAGGAGGCTGAGGCAGGAGAATTGCTTGAACCCAGGAGGCAGAGGTTGCAGTGAGCTGAGACTGTGCCACTGTACTCCAGCCTGGCAACAAGAGCGAAACTCCGTCTCAAAAAACAAAAAAACAAAAAAAAGATTTTTAACTCCCTGTTTCTTAGAAGGGACTCTAACCCTGCTAAATTGGGCATTTCACCTGGGGATTGACCCAAAGACCTTTAACCCCTTATTTCTTAGGAGGATTCTAACCCTGCTAAGTTGGGCCTCTAACCCAATTCTGTTCTTTACTCTGGACAAATACCCTCCCACTTCCCCAGAGTTGGCCAGTGAGTGCCGCAGTCTATTCTTTTGAGCCAGGGGATCCTCCAGTGTCGCCTCTTGGCGGTTTGCCAGGAAGATGTTACTGGAAATGGGTCCCAATCCAGACCCCAAGAAAGGGTTCTTGGATCTTGTTCAAGAAATAATTTAAGGCAAATTCGTAAAGTGAATGCAAGTTCATTAGAGGAGAAACAAAAGAAAAGCTACTCCATAGACAGAGCAGCCCCAAGGGCTACTGGTTGGTTGTTTTTATGGTTATTTCTTGGTCATATGCTAAATAAGGGGTAGATTATTCATGAGTTTTTTGGGAAAGGGGTGGGGATTCCTGGAACTGGGGGTTCTTCTGCTTTTTAGACCATATAGAGTAACTTCTGGACATAGCCATAGCATTTGTAAACTGCCATAGTGTTGGTGGGAGTATCTTTTAGCATGTTAATGCATTATAACTCTGTTATAATGAGCAGTGAGGACAACCAGAGGTCACTTTCATCCCCATCTTGGATTTGGTGAGTTTTGACCGGCTTCTTTACTACATCCGGTTTTATCAGCAGGGTCTTTATTACCTGTATCTTGTGATACCACAGTCCTGCTGACTTCCTGTCTCATCCTGTGACTAAGAATGCCTAACCATCCTGGGAATGCAGCCCAGGAGGCCTGAACCACCTTTTACCCAGCCTCTATTCAAGACGGAGTTGCTCTGGTTCTAATGCCTTTGACAATATTGCTGGATCATTTTAGAGTCTTAACATCTTAAATGGTAAATATAGGAAATATAGGACCTTTTTGACCATCAAAATTAAGGGATTCTAGCAAAGTGGAAAATGTTTTATCTCATGTGCATATTTACATAGCGGAGTAAGAAATAAAGATAAAATCCTAAGCCCTGTAACTGACTGAACAGACCTCCTCTTAGCCAAGGGGACCCAGAGTAACCTTGAAAACTGAGTTCGCAGTCATGATGGGGTAGGAGGTCAGACATGCCTCTTATACTCTCTCCCTGGCTAACCACGATTAGGCTTTCTCACCTAAGGGCTAAGGAGAAAACAGCCCTTTCAAAAGACTCCACCACTGATTTTAGCCAACCACCTGACACTGCTTTTCCCTTTTGCAGTTTTCACACAACTGACCAGCATTTTTTCCCGTAAGAGACCACCAACCACGGAATGGTTCGGGCCAGTCCACACAGACTGCACAGCAAGGGTTTTCTGGTCGTCTTCATCTTTTGACATCACAGGGCAGGAGTCCACCCTTGGATCTTGCTAATGCTACCATTTTTTTGTACATGGGTTCCATGAAGGAGCATGAAGCTCCATTGCACGTGTGCACCTTTCTCCTTTCATAAATATTCATGACTCCTGGGACAGCTTATTGAAAATGTACATTTGGTCACCCTGCTTAGCATCAATTTCTGTTTCCTCTGCCCCTCCCTCAAAGTGTTTGTGTCTGGCTTCTGGCCTGAGGCTGTGCTTCCCAGCTTGTCAGAATGGCCACCCTACAGGCTGCAACCCTTCATGAGAAATAAAGCTCTCTTTTCCGAATTTATGAACCTCATCATTCTTCAGTTGACAGGAAGAAAAATATCTTTCCCTCACCCATCCTAGATTCATGGTTAAGACCCCTATAGCAAAAGACAGATTAATAAGAAAAAAGCCACTGGGCATAGTGGTATGCACCTGTAATTCCAGCTTCTTGGGAGGCAGGGGCTGGAGGATCACTTGAGACCAAGAGTTCAAGACCAGCCTAGGCAACATAGTGAGACTCTATCTCAAATAATAATAATAATAATAAGAAGAAGAAGAAGAAGAAGAAGAAAGAAGGAAGAAGAAGGAGAAGAAGAAGAAGATGATACAAATATAAGTTTTATGTGACATGGGAGCCTTCAGAAATGAAGACCCAAAGAAACAGAAACTTGGTGTATTTTCATGCTAGGCTTGATGAAGAGTGGACAGTTGTGTAGA